GCAAACCAACCATTGGATTCTGCCTCTGACATTTGGATTGTTGGGTCTCTGTTTTGGCTTATCGCAATCCGGAAAGTGTATAAACTGGTTGTTCCGTTACCGGCTCCCAACAGGTGCGAATCCCTAACCTCGTCCTGCTATCTTGTAGGTTAGGCCCCTTGGCCAAAATCTCGGGGCGGTGGTCCCTTGAGACAACCTCCCTACGTCGGTCTAGGCAACCGGGCAGTATCTCGCCTACTGATGAACCATGGAACTGCATTCTTACGCACACTCGCTCGCATGATGGTTTACTTTCCTGATGCTACGCCACACTCCATTATCCATCCTCCACTTGTATCATTCACTCCCTTTGTTGCCCGATTCCCCAACGGTGAACAACCTTTTCTCCGCCGATGGATTTATCTCCTTAATATCACCAGATTAACCGCACAGTGCTTCACAGGGAACAACAAGTCACAAAGTCGAAGTTGGACTTGGAGAAACTCACAACTCCAACTTCGAATTCCTTTCCGCTGTACCAATCGTTGCTCGCGGATCTCGGTAGCATATTGTTTATGACCTCAGCTGTAAACCACTAGGCTCTGAGTTCCGCCCCAGCTCAGACTATCTCCACCTGATAAGTCCAAACCAGGACGAAACCGCGCTCGTGGTGTGCCAGTGTTGGGAGGATCAACACCGAAATATTTTCAAGTCACAACGTCTATCACCCTCGCTTCTGTAACGTTCAATGTGCACATTTTTCTGCAGATGCTGGACTTGCACTCACGTTGGAGTCTCTTGCGATTGCTGCCCGCTGCAGGGCTGAGACACGATTTCAGAATTCCAACACACTACCGGTTGTCGTCACCAGTATACCCACATACTCGTCTCCACCTCCCCCCCCCTTCTGATGGCAGTGAGTCCGTCGCATCTGAGCAGGATGGTGTTGGGATCGCACTGAGTGTCAGAGCCGAGGCCGCCCTCCTTTAATATAATCTAATCAACAGTCTTCCTTGTGCTATAAGGCCCCGTGGCACTTGCAGGGTTAGCAGACGTTGAACCGACAATTGTGCTCTTGTTGTGATTCTTGCCTACACGCCTACGTCTAAGTCTATCAAAAGCTTTATGATCTGCTCCTAAGGGCACCTAAAACGGACATCATCCTTATAGCAGAAGATTCCAACGCAAGTGTCAGTCGGTTGCTGCCATGTGAACTCCACCTCGGGAAACCGCATGACTATGATGATGCTCGATCTGTAAACGCAGAAAGATTGATAAGTCCATGTGCTGACCACTAGCTTTTTCCCGCTAGTACCAGCCTTCGTCACTCTGGACGACACTGTAGTACCTGGCGACCTCCATCATTAACCCAGAGTTGGTTGCAAATTGACCACATAGCCATATGTCGCAGTTGGCGTGGCAGCATACGAGGTTGCCTGATCATATTGGTCAACTTAAATCCGATAATGCATTGGTGTGCTCTACAGTTTGCATACGTTTCGGTGGCTTACAAAGAACAAAACAAACCCGATTGAAGGCTTGCGAATCGGGAGACCTGACGATAAAAATGGAGTATCAACAGAGGATTCGGGGAAAATTCGTGCTCTCCCATTCACCGGATGTTGTACAGCATTGGTCAGGAGTGCAATAGGCAATGCTGTCTGCAAGTTTGTCCAGCTGCGCACTTGCTCTCAAGCAGTCACTTTATAAGACCATTAATCCCCTCCAGTTCCAATCACCACTTGTGTTATCCAAACAATATATCCTATGCTTGCCTTATGTCAGCGATCTTAAGGTGGTCACGAAACACTGCATATCATGGTTATTCACCGACGACACACCGATTACCTATGAGGTCAGAGTTTCTGAACTTCAGAACACACCATCGCTCATTCGAGATAAGCTTCGCCCCATTAAGACATGATGCGACACAGAGATTATGAAGCCCTCAGGGAAACAAATCATGCAGTGTGTATCGCAGTCATTTGATACCTAATGGATCTATTACATCCAACAACGAACGCGATCCGGAATCAGGTATTACTGCAACCAATTTTTCTGAGTAGCTGCGATTCCTAGATAGAGCGGTCCAGGTAATCTGTGGTTACTATTTCTATAAAGATCCATGCAGTCCCAACCAGAGTTGAACTTTACAAACTCCTTATCTATCCCATTCTCCAGTATTGCATCGTAATTTTTGGCGGCATGAGTAAGTGACGGGACAGCACTACAAAGGTAGTTTACCAAAAATCTAGTTGGCAACACTTCCACCAGAAATATCGGGAGCGGTGCCAGCAGCTCCCGCTCAGTCCGCATTGGCCACATAGACTAAAGCCTAGGTTGGGGCTTATTCACTAGTCGATTCATCAGAAAACCTATTACAATGTGCTCACGCTATAGTTGCGGCTCAATTCGACCAGGGGAATTCGCAATCAAGATTGTACTTTGTTTTTACCGAGGTGCGACACAACTATGCGTCTTGATTTCTTTTCAATCAGAAATGCCGTCCTGTGTAATGGGTTACACTCCACAATCAGGTCCTGTGTGAGCTCAACAACACTTCGCGATAAAGTCGAAAGTTACTTCAAAATGAACATGATCACGACTTTGTCCTCATGGGGTAAGCGCTCAACGAACTGTTTCAAGAGTGACCCACATAGGGTCTATCGGGTGGATATAAAAGAAATTCACACGAGTGAAATGAGTGGCTACAATATCTTCGAAGACTCAGGGCCAGCAATACTGTGAACCTTATACAATGTCAGAAACACACACAATCGTGTATTATCCATGCTAGTGCATGATACCACCTGTACAACTACGATATGTGTTAACTATGGACGCAGTTTATCACACGATGACAAGTTTACCAATTAGTTTTAGTATTTTGATAATAATAATTGTTTATTGGATTGGACAAGTGGTTTCGAAAGCCTTTTCTCCTGCTCATCTATCACAATTGGCTCCAAAAGCACCTGCAAAGCGAGAGCTAACATAGTTGAACTGTTCATGTAAGCAGCCAGACTTAGTCCCACATCTTTGTATCCGTTATCTATCATTAGGATCGATAACAGCAGTAACCTACAGGAATGCACTTTCGGCATGTTGTCAAACGAAGGCCGCAAGACGATTATTCATTTCACGACCGTTTACAGGTTATGCAGTGGAGTCGTCCTTTGCTTGTGTAACGCAACCTTACTGTTGCTGGTGAATATACTTGCCCCTGGATTGGTTTGTGCGGTGGTTCGTGTGAAGTCAAATGCGACCTAAACGACTCTCCACACATCTCAGTACAAACCAACGTTTTGTCTCTTGCGTTCACTAAACGTTCTCCAAACATTAATACATGAAAACAACGGGGTATCGGCCCTTCCGGCCGGATGGCATTTGAAGAGTGCGCGTGTTACTCTGCTTGTCTCTATTGGAGAGTTAAAAAGCTAATTTACTTTCTTTTTACTGCATTGGATAATTATAAGTTAAAACGTTCCGATTCGTTATCTCCGGCTTTTTTTATGTAGTTCCTTTCAGAATTGTACTCTGAAAGTCGACGATCACAAACACCATCTGCCATATGACTCATCGAGAGGGTAAGTGGAGGACTACTCGGCTCCAAAAAAGGGATTGCTAGCGCACATTCCGCGTTGTCAATTAGAACTTCTCTCGCATTGTGTCCGGCCACATCTTTGGTTAGAATATTACCCTTAAACTTACATTTTCACCACCATTCGTTTATCAGTTCCCTTTGGTTGTGTAGGTAAGCATGGCTTCCTGTATTTGGCTCCGGTCACATCTGCGACATGATAGCGGAATGACCACAGACGGTGCCACTACCTCTCACTCACTTCCTCCATGAATACTTGTTGACTGATTAAATACGGGGTTGGGATTTCCTTCTTTCGTAGTGGTTTTGGGCCGAACCAAGCGATAATGGTCAAAATACACTTCCTATCCCCGCGTTCTCTTTACTCCATGACAGCTTGTCCCACGGTCGGTTACTTCAAGATGTCTTGTAACAGATACTCGAAATGAAGGACCATATGTGTCACTGTCCAAGACTATTTTCGCAGTTTTATACTATTCCCCAAACCCTCAACCTCACTGTCTTTCTTATTGTTTTTCCGGGATTCTTGGTTACAATTAAGGTCTCATTGCGTGGTAGTAACGTGTTCACTTGTTTCGTGTTTTCGCTATTGAACACTTGGACCTTGCGTGCTTGACCTAACTTACTCCTTGGGCGCAGACACATGGCATCTGCATGCATGCGGGCACTCATCAGTGGTATGACCGGTCGTTGGCTGGTTATCCGCATGACACTGACAGGAAATCTTTTCTGCCGTCTAGCTTTCTGTGGTCCCAACTTCCTACGTGCCGTCCTTGATAGGACAGATTAGACTACAGGGGTCGATCGTCAGAGTGAATAGAGGAAATAAAAAATAGAGCATGGCACAACAGAGTACGTGGTTGCGCCGCACCGACGCTTGGCTGCCACGCGACTACCACCACCAGTCGTGAGTTGAATAGCGATGCTGCGAAGTTGTCCGTGCCCCTACGCAGATTCCCGAGCCGGTGATCTTTGGGGGTTACAAGTCAGTTGTGATTCATGCCTCTGATTACCGGCCTACAGGTTGCGTATTTACTTGATCCTACTCGCTCCCCAGACACAAGTCATCCAATACAAATTTACCCTTTCACTCCTCACGCAGACGACCCAACCGAACACAATCACAACTGAGACATCATCTTTACACACTCAAGCAACACAGCCACACACACATTCATATCGACATACACACCACATAGATCTAGCACGTTACTGCTAATCTTGCAACATTCTTGTACATTAGCCGATCATTCGTGTTGGCATTACTACGATCATGCCTATTCAGGTGTGCCTCCCGCTGTGGAGAATTTATTTATTTATATACATAACCATATTGGACCGCACAAGGGCAATAGGCCTGCCAACGGTTGCATCGTTTAACGGACATCGAACTTGTTAAGTTGGTACAGTGTGAACTTACTCAGTTGCTCCTTTAATCTTTTCATGCGGATCAACAAGCTTGCCGCATCCTCGCTCATTTGTTTCACATCTCCCTGAGTGGTGTCCACCAGCTCAATTATCTTTTTAGATTGTGTCTCGAGTTCATCGACCAGTGCTGTGGCTTGAGAGACTTCCTGCACAACCTCCACATCATGCCGACTGCGCATTTCGCGTAGACGCGTTTTGTTTCCCTCACTGTGATTCATTCCACGGGTGATCTGCATCAAAAATGAATGAAACGCGATCTCTTTATAACTCCAGGTGGGAGCGAACAGAATCGCAATTCTCCGCCAGGCGAACTGTTCATCACACCACGAACAATACCACAAGAGTGGAGAAAATCGCATGATGGAACGGGATCTTGTTGCTCAGAACTTAGAAATCAGCAATATCTGCTAGCCATCAGGCACTCGCAACTCCTATAAGCCCCATACCAACAGTTCCCGTGCACATATGCCTGAAGCTGCAATCACTGGTATAAATGCAAAAACAGCATTCCGCCCCCCCCCCCCAGTGATGGCCAGGGAAGCTTTGCATCATGCATGTATGTTTCTATTATTTTCAACTGTGTCCTGAGGAATAACTGCTTCACACTGCCATTATCATCCCTGGTGATGAAAGAGACAAACATAACGAAAGTAGAAGTTACAGTCTATGGAACTCCTATCGGTGTTAGTTTCCTTATTGGCTAAGATCAGTATGCTTGTATATGCCTTCCATGTTGTTCACACCCGCCGTGCTATGTTGATTTAGATGTCAGCCACCTCCTTCATGCATGCTGCTCAAAGGAGCTACTCATTCCTGGCCCATACGAAATTTCTCTTGGTACTGATGGTAATTACGGACTTACTGCCAGTATGGGCCAGTTGATCTGTGGCGGTGTCGTAGGAATAACTGTTTTACTGTTTTTGGATTCATTTTATCAATTCTTTTACCATATCGGTATTTCCAAGTCCCGCAGATGCGCACTGATAATTCTGCCCTGGGGCGAACTAATAACTCCGTCATCTTCAGGTTGCTCGAAAATTTCGACAAAACGCAACGATCTTTGGTGTGCAAGCGGGATTATATGCGTGGATTATATAAACATTCTCACGCTCTTGCCACTGTTCTCAAAGCGCTCTGATCCATTAAATCATTAGATTAGCACGCGCTACGTCCCATATGTTTTAACAGGTAGCACCGTAAGTTCATGAATGACCTGTGCTATTTTTTTAAATGTAGCCCAGTGCCTACCTTCCTATGAAAATGATGCCGTGGCACTTACACAGCATTAACTTACCATTTTTCAAATGGCATATACTGCGGTATTTAATGCCACATGGTACTTGGCCCATGCAGAGGATGGAGTGTGTGGATTTAAAGATGTATTCGCCACAGCCTAAGTAAATCGGTTTCGGTAAACTCGGTCACTGAAAAGAACCGAGTCATTTGGAATCAGACACCCACTCTTTGGTTGACACCATACCTAAATGGACGTTGCCAGATAGTTACTCTGGGTAATCGTAACTCCTCCCCACGTTCAATCACTAGTGGTGTCACCCAAGGGAGTGTATTGGTCCTTCGGTTTTCCTACTTTATATTAACGATATCATGGTGTTCATAAAACATAGAAGGCCATCTTTGTTCACCGATAACATAACTGTTTACAAATTTCTACAAGAGGAACTCCATAACGCAATGTTGCTCCTTCAAGAATACCTCGATTCACTTGAGAAATGGTACAACACATGGATGTTAATTTTCTCAGCTAGTAAATCATGCATTATATCATACGGATTTTGATCCCTGAAGAGTCTGTTAAAATAAACAATGAACGTATCCGTGTGAAACTATCCAACTGTGATCTAGGCATACGATACTCTTCAAACTTTAATTCCTCAGAGCAAGCTGGGTATCAAACAGCACGTGCCAAACGATTTGTGGCTAACATATGCCATAAAATCTATACAACCCCTGCCAGACTCGAGCTCACCATAATACTTACACTTCCTGTCCTTGAATACTGCAGCATCATTTATGGGAACATGCGTATGGGTGACAGGAAAGCTTTGGGAAATCTGCAAAGATCATTCCCTAAGCGCTTGTTCAGTAGATCAACCACCATGAGTTATCAGGAGCGCTGCCAGCAGCCTAAGCTCGAGCCCCTTTGGTTGCGACGACTGAAACATTACCTGATGCCGATACATAACCTCATAAACCAAAAGATATCCTCCAATCTGTGCACACTAAAATTGCAACATAACTTCCCTCGGAATATACGCAACAAGACCTGTACATTAACTGTGCCAAGAACCAGGACAACCATCCGATCCAACTTCTTCCCCATTAGATAAGCTGTCGTGTGGAATAGCCTACCATCCACAACCGAGTCCTGTACAAATGCAAGTATATTCCGCATTCAGCTTAGAAAATTTCCGGACCAGAACTCGATAATGACCATGTTTCCATCGGGTAAATCACTACACAAGTTCTTCCAGGATAGACCAAGGAATATATAACCAACAAGAAATAATGGTACACAAAACTCCGCAACAACTTATGTGATTCCGAATTCTTTTGATATCACACACCCAGAATACATATCCCACTCATGCATGAGCATGATCAGCACTGTACCCATGGTCTGTTCACAATCCAGGGACAACTTTTCGCACAATCGGAAGTAAACTTATTATTATTATGAAGTCTACGAATAGCGCACTATCCTGGAAGTGCACTGGTTCTCTAATGAAACCAAATGTCTTCCATTCAAATGGGCCAGTGCATCGTCATTTATCCGTCTAAAATCCGCCCATATCCATACTAATGTGATGCACTCAAACGTGGTCAATTCCACTGGGTCATCACCTTGAGCCGAATGGGACAACCGCTGTCCACAACATGAACCCGGCATACACCACTGGATTGAGAGGTGTATGGGAGCGTGCGCGCGCTGTGCATTTACCTAACTTTGTACGAAATCAGCGGATCGAAAATATAATTGCTGTGATAAAGAAAAGCAGTCACACGGTTCACACTCACAATGTGGCCGATGTTGATCATCGTGGATTGCACTTCATTGGCACGGTTATTCAATTGGGTGGCTGCGTCCAGTTCATTTTTTGCTTGGCCCTGTAAGTCTCTCAGCAGTGCTTCGACCATCTCCAGGCGCTGCTCCAGTTCCTTCCGCTTGTCCAGCGCTTGGGGCACACCGTCTTTCGTTTGAGCAATGTGTTCTTCAAAATCTATGGGTGAGATTGTGAATCAAAATGAAATTTGTTATCTCATCCGAGTGACATCAATGGAACAGTGGTTCATAACGGGTAAAAAAACATAGACCAAACATGTCTTCTGGGTTGGTAACAGAAGAAATTGAAATTGGAATGTTGCATATGTGGACCAAATAACATATACATCCTTGGAGTGCTGCAGTACTGGCGTATAGAAGGAGGGTAGTGTGAGGGCGATAGTACCAGGCAAAACGATATAACAAGCTGTTGGGATTAATAATCATCGCAAATGACAGGCAGATTGATCACGTCTTGGCACATATTTACCTGCGTCATTGTGCGTCATAATTCCAAAGGGGCTAATTAGCCTGAATGTATCAAGAATATCCGTTCACGTACCAATGTGTAGCGCGTTCAATTTGATATCCAATCGTTTTATTCTTGAAACCAGCTAAGGTGGGGCCCATACAACTATGTTTGAGAGAGCGTTCTAGTATTGGCAGATCAAGAAGTAGAACTAACTACGTCGTCAATCTAAACGCTTATATTGTTGACTCAACTTCAGGTTATTGTGTCTCAAGCTGGTGTTCGGGATGAGTTTCAATAGGTGACGGCCTACATGACTGAGGTCTCTCAGTATTTGGTAAACTAACATGAAGCCTCCACGTAGCCGCCTGAAGCATCAACTGAACACTCCGTGTGTCTTCACTCATTGCTGGTACGGAAGGTGGCACAAGACTTTGATAAATTTCGTTGTTCCACGTTGGGCAGTTTCGAGCGCTGTAACCTCACCATTAAGCCAACGATGCCAAGCCTGGATTGCGTATTCGATGTTGCGAGGTACGCAGGCATTGAGTACCAGAGAAGATGGCTGAATGCAAATTCCCGAATATCCTCCACAATTGACCAACATCCTGGTTATCTCTTTTTGAAGCAGACTCTGACTGTCTGAAACAACCGAGATCGTCCTGTACCAGCACACTGAGGTCACGTTCCTCAGAGTTGTCTGAAGATCGTGCGTCCTAAGTTGTTAGATCTAAGCGTGTCCATGGCGGATGTGGACAACACAATACTTGTCCACCTTGAAGGGCAGTACGTTCCTCACTGACCAATGCCATGTCTCATCGAGGTCGCGCTGGAGCATCTTGTAGTAGTCCATTCGGTTGATTGCCTTTCAATCGTCTGCGAAGAGCAAAACGTCCGGAGTGATAACTCTCCCTAGATTACTAATGAAAATTTAGAACTGGGGAGGCCCAAGCACAGAACCCTGCGGTGTACCACACTCCAATCGAATCGGGTCAGACAGAGGTTCCCGGACTCTAACCTGAGATTAACATCCACGGAAAGTTACCTATCCATCCTAATACTGAATCTCCAATGCTGTAGTACTGAAGTTCGTGCAGTTGGATTCGATGATCCAAGCAATCGAAGGGTTTCGAAAACTCCATGTAGATAACATCGATTCCCGACCCTCGTCCATTGTTGTGGGTCAGTTGTCACGTGCTATCAGCAGATTCGTGGCACATGATCGATGTTGACGAAACCCCCTGCTGCTGCAGCGCAATGACACCGTAGCTTTCCAGGTAACCCATCAGGACGTCAGCGATGAGCGCTATCATGACTATAGCGAGCACATGAAGAAGCGTTACCGCGCGTTAATCGGCAGGACCAGATCGACTTCCTCCCTTGTCAATCGCGGTTATAATACCTCGTTTCCACTTTGAAGGAACTATGTTTGCATCTAGACAACACCGAAAGAATCCGGCAAGTGATTCGTCTAGGTGCATGGCTGCTTCCTGTAGGGCTGTAGGGTGAATGTTATCCACTCCAGGAGAGCTGTGTGTAAGCAATCATAGTAGCTTTTTCAGAACTGTTTCTGCTGGGAATGTGATGCCGGATAAAACCGATGGTGTGGCGACGGAGGCAGGAATAGCCTTCGAGGCTTGTACGCCTAGGTGAGTACTGGGACGTAAGATTTCGGCCGCGTCATTCGCTGTGTGTGGATACCCACCACCTGTAGTGAGTGGTTGAATTCCGCTCTGCACCTAACGAAGTCTATTCACATGTCTGTAAAGAATCTTGTGGTTTGAACAGAATCGTTTCGCTAGCTCCTACTAGTATGTTGCCTTGTCCTCACGCTGAGCTGCATACGCTACCGATTATTGGAGCTGGGAGTGTTTTTGTAAACGCACGATGTCCGATCCCTCAAAGCCATAAATATTCCTGTTCACCTTCTCAGAAAGGATTTTCGTTTAATTGGACGATAGAAAGCTTTTGGCTATGATGCTTCCGGGACTAGCGATGTGAAGGTTTTCAAAAATGTTTTCCAAGCTACTTCAGGGGTGCGCTCAGTCATGAATGTCCAACTAGCGTTTTCAATGAATACGGAAAATAGGTGAGAATGTGTAATAGATTGCTTCATTTCGGGCTCTGTATCAGGGGGTTCCTGCGTAGCAAATGTAATTGAACAGTAAAGACATCTGATCGTTTTGGCCCAAATGATTGCATACATATTGCCTATCAACCATGAGCTCCTCGCTGGTGGGCACTAGATCTAAGCTTGATGGCTTGTTCTCTGTTCCGAACCTGGTAGCAGCGGTGACGTGGTTGTCTAGGGATAAGCTAGAGATTAGCTCTTGCAACTAGGTCTTGAACTCTTCCCCTTCGTTTTGCTGGAGTCTCCAATTCATGGATGTTAAAATCTGTAATGAGGATATGGGTCTATTTCTGCTTTATCACAATACTAAATGCAGAGAATAGTCTGTGGTCCATCTCCGGAGTGGATTTTGGTGATGGGTAAACTATGGACACCTGGCATGTATCATCATCCTACAATCACAGTTTGCACAAGAGCTCGGTGACTCAAGTCTGAGGATCATTTATGAGCTTACAACGGTTTGTTTTTTTAATAAATGACCACTCTCGCTCCCCCACCCGTTCTGTCGTTCCGGATAGAGCGATCTCGACGTCTGTAATTTTACAGCTCAGCCAAATTTCCGTGATCATTATGATATCTCGAGGCTCTGAACCCTGATGGTGACGGTATTTGACCAACTTACTAGCTAGCTAGTTAGTATCCAAGTAGGTTAGTTTCTCAGTAACCAAAAGTGAATCATTGGACTAAGATTGGAAATTGTACCGACCGTTGGGGGGTCAGCTACTAGCCGTTTTTGGGAATCATTCCCCTTTGAATTTCGGTTGGGATATACGACTGCTTTCGACTGTCTTAGCCCTGATGGTTTCTTGTGTTTAGTCGTATTGAATCGGATGCCGAGGTTTCCATTAAACCAATCCCTTCACAGTACTGTATGAGGGGAAGGTTCACGAATTTCGTCGTTCCCAATGAGTTGTTAGCCATTTGTGGCCACGTAACCGATTTGCTGTTGGCAGCCGCTTGCGGAATTTAGACCAGTTTTCCATTATAAGCATTGCCAGTAGCTCAGACTAAAGCATCAGCTCTATCAGCCGGGAACCATTCCTCTTTTAGTTTGGTGATACTGAAATTCTTGTCAACCGGTTTGCAACGATATTGTCGAGAGAGAGAGAGAGAGAGAGAGTTCCTGGCGGATGTAACTCCATCGTTCCGGTCATGTGTCTCCGACTCCTCAGAGGAAGATGTTTGAAGCTCAGGAACCCCGTAAGTAATATTCCTCCGCGCCTTGTCAGTTTTACGAACTTCCTCAGTGTTGCTACTCTCCTTCGGACTTTCGTTCCAAGGGATGTCCGGAAGTATGCGCACCGCATTTAATAAGTTACGGAGCCGAATCGAAGACAGTAGAACGACCTGTGTGTTATCAGCGGAACTCAGTGTCACCCGGAGAAGTCGAGGTTTACCGTAATGCACTGAATTTGGGTGACGTGGAACCCGTCTCAGTGTCTTGAGCTCAACCGAAATGCCAATCGCACCACAAATAGAATTCCACTGAGTACGGTCGTCCATCAGCTCCCCCTTTATGGTACTAGACTGCGATGCTAGAACATTCTTACATTCAACAGTTAAAGCAGCCTGATTTCTTCTGTTGGCTGCAGGTTTGAGGGTATCAATTCATGCCGTTTTAAACGGTTTGGTTATTTGCAGGGGCTGCGGCACCCTAGTGTTTCTCGGTGCTGCTACCGGAATCAGGCATGTTCTCTTCGACGTTTGCATGGAGGCAACTGATGCGTACGATGCCCGACTTTTCTCTGTAGTGGGCGAGCTCAGGCTCGGAGCAGCCATCATGGCCACTGACTTGATGTGGGCTTCACTGCTGAAAGCAGTGGAAGCATGCATGTTTGAAGCTTGTCCGCTTATGGAAGTGAGATGAACCAGGGGATCTGGAGACACTCCCTTTGAGCAACTGCTATGAGGTTGACTAATAAGCTCAAGTTGCACGCGTAGTGCAAGATACCTAGCGCACGAATTGTTTTGCCTGGTTCTGGCTGTACAACAAGTCTCTGTGTAGCTCAATCAATGCAAGCAGCTTTTATGTCTTACAATGTGGAATGTGGTGTGGCAGGAATACGACAAGTGTCGCATGGCTTTCTTCTCAGCTTACCATGGCTATCTGCTTTCGTGTTATTCGAATGCTCTCATCCGTACACACATACACACACATACCGTACTGGAAAGCAAAACAGTAGAAGAATTAGTACCATAGCACCTACGGGTCGGATGATCAAACTTGACCTGACGATTGCTGCGTGCGTCATCTGTAGCGATAGCTTACACGTGTGCGGGTTGGTAACCTCCAGTCTGTGGCGTCCACCTCCTGTGGTTCCGAATAAGCATAGGAGCCCACATCTAGGGTCTTGCGTTATACCAAATGTTGGGACATCAGTACTCTCACTACAACTATGCTGTTGACTATTATTTGGACTTATCAACCAGAACCATCCCACCGAGTTTCCATAGTGTTCAGGGGCCTCCATTGTGGTGGATGGTGAATCATGTCAACAGACTATCATCTGTTTGTCATATGGGGTGCGTTCATTGTCTTATTGTAGTCTTTCACTTTGCGTCATACCCGATCAGCTTG